TATTCTGCAGCAATTGGGTGAAATGTTCTGTAAATGTCAGTTAGGCCTATTTGGCTTAGTGTCTAGCTTAATGCTGATGTTTCTTTGTTGATTGTCTAGATGATCTGTCCATTAGTGAGAATGGAATGTTGAAGTTCCCTATCATTGTATTGCAGTCTCCTTCTCCCTTTAGATCTATTAATGTTTGCTTTATATACTTAGGTGCTCCAGTGTTAGATGCATAGGTATTTATAATTGAGATAGGCAATATATTGCTATGTCTCCACTAGGTCCTTGCCTGTTTTTCTGGCACTAAATGGCACCTTAAACCTACGTTTGCTTTGACTCTAGCCAAAGATCAGAGCACTCCCAGTCCAGATATAGGGGAGATCCTAAAGAGGATATCCTGGCAGTGTGGAAAAGCTGGTTGGCGGTTGGTGTACAGGTGACCTGTGGAATGAACCTCCTCTAGCATAATGCTGCTGAATAGCCACTCTGATTTGGTATCTCCTTTGACCAAGTTATGGAGCAGAGTTTCCAGGGCTGGGTATGGTAGTCCCATCTCCCCTCTTTGTCTCTTGCTGTCTTTAGGAATATATCTCCCTTCAGGCATTCATGATGCCTTCTGTGGGTTAAGGTATGAGCAGGTCTTCTGTCAAAGAACCCAAGATGGTCGGGAAGCTGGTTGTCCACCTTGATCTCAGTTTTTCCAGTGTAGAAACTATGAGTCAGGGAAAATTTCTGCATGCTAATTGCTGGACAGATTGGTTGGAAGGGCATCATAGAGAAATTTGATTCTCCTTTGCTTGGAGCTTTTTCACTTCTCTGTGGCCTCAGCAACTGATTCATCCTTATATTTGAGTTCTGGGATATTGCTGGTGAGAATCTTAGTGCTGTATATTTGTTTTTAGTTTCCTGTGTATATGTTGGGGTGGGGAGGGAAGCCAGGTTCTGTCTCCACCACTGTTTTGAAACCTGAAGTCCAGACTCCATTTCCTACCTCATAATTTGTAAGCTCTTTCTTCTTGTATTACTACTTTGTCTTCTAACTTGAGATTTATTATCACTGGAATGCCAGTTGTAATTGGAGAAAACATTTATATTTTTCAGTTAAATGTGTTGGATTTCCTTAAAAAACATATTTTATTTTTTGTTTACAGTATTCAGATCAGTTGTAAATGCAAGGATTTAAAAAATCTCAAATAACAGTGTCCTGATGGCTTCATGAGAAAGTCTTTTGCCTCAACAGTTTGTATGTTTCTAATGAGATTTATTTGACTGACCTTATTCAATTTGTTGGTTGGTGTGTTTAAAATGTTCCCTAGAAACCATAACAATCTGAAAGTTTATAAAAGGTCTGGTAACCTCACTTGAATTATCTAAACTTTCACAATAAGTGGATTTAACTTTATTTCATGAGAGAGAAACTTTGGCTTTCTTGATAGTATCTACACAGTTTCTTTTCCTATGAGACTCAAGCTCAAAAGATTCTTCAAGTGGTCCAAATTTAATGGAAAGCCAAAGTGTCTTAATCATAATATTGTGTTTCATGATCATGGCTTGCTTAATTTTTGGAAGAAATAGTGGCACATTGGGAATTGCAATAGGACAAAGCCAGGAAGAATTGTGACTTCTTTGTTTCAGGCCAATTAGAGAGGGCTGAACAAAATAATTAGAGGATTTTAGCAGTATACACGGACAAGATGGATGTTTTGAAAGTGCCTTTTTTCCCTTGAAACAAGAGTTATGTTTTTCCTGGAATTTTTCGTAATATCACTAATTCTTAACGTGGCCTTTGTAAAATTTGTTGTATATTAAGGGCAGTTTCATGGAAAACTATAATCTTATACAAATTTATGTATTTAAGAATAAAATATTTAAGATTATAGTAAGATGAAAAAGAAGTTGGAGGAGATGGATCAAAACAATTTAAAGTCATATAAACTAATGGTATGGGCATGTAGGATTCAGTTTTTATTCAGATACTACTAATTTTTAATTTGTTATTTAGATTTTGTTTCTTATTTTGGCTTAATGTGTAATGTGTGAATTAGAGATTTAATTTGGAAAAATCTACTCTTCTTGAGATTCATTTTGTTTATCTTTAGTCAATTGCTGATACTCAAGAAAGAACAAACCATAGATTTAGAGAAGGTGCTGGAAATGTTTTTAAAGTATCTTAAAATTTACATAAATTCATTTTTTGTGATGTACCTGTCTGTTTTGACAAATGCAGAGAGTCATGTAACCACCACTGTAATCAAGAAATAGAATAGTCCCATCATCCATCCCCAAATACCTCATGTTATCTCTTTGCTAAGTCAGACCTTCTCCTCATGCCCAAACCCTGTCAGCCATCACTTTGTTCCCTGTTCCTGTAAAGTTTGGCTTTTTCAGGATGTTAAGTAAAATTCACCCATGTTGTATCAGTTCATTCTCTTTTATTGTTGAGTTGTATTCCATTGTATACCACAGTTTATACTTTCATGAGTTGGAGGACATTTGAGTTGTTTCCAGTTTTGGGTGATTATGAATAAAATTACATACAGGTTTTTGTGTGACTTTTAAATTTTTTTCCTGGATAAATACCTAGAAGTAGGATTGCTGGCTCTTATGTAAATGTATGTTGAACTTTATAATAAACTGTAAAATTGGTTTCCTTCCAAAGTGGCTGTGCCATTTTGCATTCTTACCAGCAATACATGAGTGATTCAACTTTTCCACATCCCCACCAGCAGTTGTCAGTTTTTTTTTTTTCCATTTTAACAGATCTATAGTAGTGTTTTATTGCAGGTTTAATTTACATTTTCCTAATGACTAATGATGTTGGGCATATTTTCATGTGCTTATTTTCTATTTTCATATGTTCTTCGATGAAGTGTCTGTTAGAATCATTTGCTCAATTTTAAATTGAGTTGTTTCTTTTCTTATGGTTGAGTTTTGAGGAATCTTTGTGTATTCTAGATACATATCCTTTGTCATATATGTGATTTTTCAGATATTTTCCCCATTCTGTAGCTTGTCTTTTTATTCTGTTAAGTTTCTTTTTTTGTTTTTCTCGAGACGGAGTCTCGCTTTGTCCCCCAGGCTGGCAGTGCCAGTCGGGTAAGTCTCGGCTCACTGCCAAGCTCCGCCTCCCAGGTTCATGCATTTCCTGCCTCAGCCTCCCGAGTAGCTGGGACTACAGGGCGCCCGCAACACACCGGCTAAGTTTTGTATTTTTAGTAGAGACGCAGTTTCACCGTGTTAGCCAGGATGGTTCTTGATCTCCTGACCTCGTGATCTGCCGCCTCGGCTCCCAACAGTGCGGATCTACAGCATGAGCCACCGCCCCAGCCTAAATTTCTTTCAAGAGCAAATTTGTTCAATGTTGATAAAAAGTCTACATTATAACTTTTTGCTTTTAAGGATTGTGATTTTATTGTCCATGTCTAAAAACTCTTTGGTCTAACTCCTGAGTAACAAAAATTCTTTCCTCAATATTTTTTTCCAGAAGTTTTAGTTTTGGTTTTACATTATAGGGCTATGGTTCATTTTCAGTTAATTTTTGAATAAGTGTGAGGTATGGGTAAAAGTTTATTTTCTTTTTGCTTATGGATGTCCAGTTTTTCGTTTTCTTTTCTCTGAGATGGAGCACACTCTTGTCTCTGAGATGGAGGTACACTCTGTCACCAGGCTGGAGTGCAGTGGCGCCATCCCAGCTCGCTGCGACCTCCATCTCCTGGGTTCAAGTGATTCTCCTGCCTCAGCTTCCCAAGTAGCTAGAATTACAGGTGTGTGCCAGCACGCCTGGCTCATTTTTGTATTTTTAGTAGAGACTGGGTTTCACCATGTTGGCCAGGCTGACCTTGAACTCCTGGCCTCAAATGATCTGCCTGCATTGGCCTCCCAAAGTGCTGGGATTATGGGTGTGAGCCACCACACAAGGCCTGGATGTCCAGTTTTTCTAGCACACTCTTTGAAAAGACTGTCTTCTTTCTTTTCTTTACCTTTAAGGTGCTGAAAGTTGTTTTTTGTTTTGCTTTTTTCTGAGACAGAGTTTTGCTCTGTTGCCCAGGCTGGAGTGTAGTGGTGCAATCTCGGCTCACTGCAGCCACCACCTCCCGGGTTCAAGCAATTTTCCTGCCTCAGCCTCCCGAGTAACTGGGATTACAGCCATACGCTACCACACCCGGCTAATTTTTGTATTTTTAGTAGAGACAGGGTTTCACCATGTTGGCCAGCCTGGTCTCGAACTCCTGACCTCAAGTGACCCACCCGCCTTGGCCTCCCAAAGTGCTGGGATTACAGGTGTAAGCCACCACACCAGCCTAAGGTGCTGAAAGTTTTAATTCAAGAATTTATACTATACTTTTCTATCACCATAATTCTACTTATTTAGTTGTCTGGTTATCATTTGTGTTTTTATCACTTATCCTAAACCTTCCAGAGAGGGTTCTAACATTTGCAAAGGTTTCTCAAAACAAAATTATTACTTGATTCCATTCAAATAAAAAAAAATTCAATGCCATATGTTATTTTAGAGATAAGGAGTTGGAAAAGTCTGGTTAATCAACTCCATCCAGATTGGCATTTTGCGAAATACTGCAATGAGAAAAATACTGGATCTGGTGATCGGGGACAATGATTTTAGTCTGAGCTCTGCCCAATCATGTTACCTTGGGAAAGTCACATCAATTATCTGGCTTTTGTTTCTCCTTCCATTGAATAAGGGGGAATAGCTAATAATCTCTAAGATCTATTCCAACTGAAATAGACTTGTTGTTATTCAGTGTTGATAGGACCTCAAAAGGTTTAGAAAACATAAATTAGAAAAGCAGGGGCAGGTCTCTGATACTTTATTATATCGGTCATTGCCAAAGTACCTATTTGCATGTAGTTCTGAGTGTACTGAATTCTTTTTGTAATGGTGACATGAGCTCAAAATATGGCTGGGATGCAGACGATTTCATCACTCTTGTTAACATGGTACGTAAGAATTTACAGTGCTAGCAGAATGCTTTCTGTTTTTGTTTTTACAGCTGGACCAAGCAACACTCTCCCTAGCCGTGAGGGAAGACTATCTTGATAACAGTACAGAAGCCAAGTCTGTAAGTTTTACTCATATTCAATTATGTGCCTTATCAGACTGCTATCAGGTCCATTACTTGTTCTAAGGTCACTGCTGCTTTATTGGAAATGAGCAGTGTGGCTATTCAATGACCATATTCCCAATACAGGAAGACTTTTATTCAGACAGATAAATTCCACTCCCTGTCTTTCTAGAAGTCTGCTCATCAAGGCTGTACAAGTCTCAGTACTCAATGCCCTTATTATATAGCTTGGGAGACAGCAGGCCCAAATGAAATAACAAAGAAATGAGCCTGCAGTCATTCATTCCTCAGAAGTGCAGAGAACTCACTATCAGTTGCAGAAATAAAGCGTCGGAAGGGATACCCAGGAGACAAATGGTTCCCAAATTGTACTGCTTTAGAATCACTTGGGAGTCTTTCATGAAATGTTGCTTCTTGGGTCACAGCTCTGGAGAGTCTGACTTAGTAGACTTGAGGTAGGGTCTGAGAATCTATATTTTTAACAGGTGTTCCAGGTTAATGGAGGTTTAATAAGAATCAGAAAGGATCAATCAAGTTAGACTTCTTGGGTTGGCTTAGAAATCTAGCAGTTTCCTGAATATTGGAAAGAGCTGGTTCATTTCTGACACTTTCAATTTATTTTGGAAAATTTATTGAACTTCCAAAGAAGCCTCAGACCTAGGTCCCCTGGGTCTATGCTGTTACTAACTTCTATACATAGAAGGCTCTGGAGGGAAGCTAACTAAGATGCTGGGCAGCTTTCTTGCCGAGGACACTCGTCAAAGAGGGTTGGCAAGTTTACCTTCCTAAAAGTAGACAGAGTGAACATTTGCCAATGTGGGGGAGGGTGTACCCCTGGTTTTCATGGAGTCTCAGCAACTAGGCTCAAAATCATCTCCCCCATAACCTATCAGTCAAGTCCTAGTGATTCCACCTTAAAAATATCTCTTCCATCCCCTTGGTCCCTCTTTTCTATCCTGACTACTATAGGTCAGATTCTTGTTAACTCTTGCCTTGGCTACAAGAAGTAGCCTTTTAACTGTTACTGCCTCTTCTTCATCACATTGCCTCCTTAGCACCAGTTGGCAAGTTCCGTTCTCAAAGCACTGCTCCCAGCATGCCTTTGCTCCCAAGACAGGGTCTAAATTCTTTAGAGGGCTTTCAAGGCTGCCTCATGACTTCATCCCAAGTCATCTTTCCCATCTCATCTGGATTTGTTCTTCCCCCAACAAAAGCAGCTTGCCCATTGTATTAGTCCATTCTCTCTCTGCTAATAAAGACATACCTGAGACTTGGTGATTTATGAAGGAAAGAGGTTTAATTGACTCACACTTCCACATAGCTGGGGAGGCCTTACAATCATGGCAGAAGGTGAATGAGGAGCAAAGTCATGTCTTATGTGGTGTCAGGCATCAGAGCTTGTGCAGGGGAACTCCCATTTATAAAGCCATCAGAGCTCATGAGACTTACTCACTACCATGAGGATATGTGGGGGAAACCACCCCCATGATTCAATTATATTCACCTGGCCCTACCCTTGACATGTGGGGATTATTACAATTCGAGGTGAGATTTGGGTGGAGACACAGCCAAACCGTATCACCTACCTCACAGGACTCTTCACTGCGTCGGAACCAGTCTCCCTCAAATGCTATGTCCCCAATTTCTCCAGGCTAGATTTTCTCTGCAGCTCTTCAGTTTCCAAGCATGTAGCAGCTTTATTAAGGAAGTTATTTTGATGTCTTTAATGTTATAGTTAATAATTACATGTTTATCTCCCTCACTGTTTGGGAACCAGACACCTATTATATTTTTGTCTGTACCACTCTTTCCTAACATATGCACAGAGGGCCTACTAAGCCACCTTGTACATTTGAGTAGGTACTCAATAAATACGTTTTTTGGTTTTTCTTTTTACATAGAGTCTTGCTGTGTTGCCCATGCTGAAGTGCAGTGGCACGATCTCAACTCGTTGCAACCTATGTCTCCTGGGTTCAAGCGATTCTCAGCAACCTCAGCCTCCCGAGTAGCTGGGATTATAGTCATGCACCACCCTGCCGGGCTAATTTTGTATTTTTAGTAGAGACAGGGTTTCACTATGTTGGCCAGGCTGGTCCCAAACTCCTGGCCTCAAGTGATCTGCCCACCTCGGCCTCCCAAAGTGTTGGAATTATAAGCGTGAGCCACCACACCCGGCCAATAAATATGTTTTGTTTTGAATTGAACTGGGAATAGCAAAATATTATTTCTATTTAAGACTATTTTCTTTTTTTCTTTCTTTCCTTTTTTTTTTTTTTTTGAGACGGAGTCTCCCTCTATTGCCCAGGCTGGAGTGCAGTGGCATAATCTCGGCTCACTGCAACCTCCACCTTCTGGGTTCGAGCGATTCTCCTGCCTCAGCCTCCCGAGTAGTTGGGACTACAGGAGTGTGCCACCACGCCCGGCTAGTTTTTTTGTATTTTTAGTAGAGATGTAGTTTCACCTTATTGGCCAGGCTGACCTCGTGATCCGCCTGCCTCAGCGTCCCAAAGTGCTGGGATTACAGGCATAAGCCACCACGCCTGGCCTATTTAAGACTATTTTGAAAGCTTGCTTACTGATTCAACAAATATTTATTAAAGGCCTGCTATATTCTAAGTACTATATAGGTCCTAAGGTCACACACATAGTAAGAATAGCTTATAGAGGCAAGGTATATGTTAGTAAATCTTATTCCCAATGCATGAGAAGTAGGTCATTTAATACCTGGTGCGTTGAGATCTCACAAATACGTCTGAAATGAGAGGTGGGCCTAAGGCAGTTCTTTAATTCCCATGATGTAAGGTCACCCCCGCCCCACCCAATGACATATGAGTAGCCCCAAAATGGGTTTATGAGTATGTAGGAAGGAAATTCTATGTTTGCTATTTGTTAGGTTTCACATCATCGTTCCTCTCTTTTCTCCTTTTTTTCCTGAGCTAGGGAGCAGAGCTTTGTGAAAACTGTAAAAAACTGAAAAGACACAGGACTGCTGTCACTGGTCTTTTATTTCTTAGTGTGAAGGTGGGTAAATTGAGTTGCAAGAGAATAAATCACACCTCCCACCATTCTTTATGGATCAGGCCTCCTGCTTTTAGAAACAGTTCTTTCCCATTATTTTATTAAAGCCTCACTTGTCTGGAAAGAGGACATCTGACCTTTAACTTTCTATTCTTGTCTCATTTGGAGTTATTTCATGTATCCATAATATCGACGGTTGCCGGAAAACTAGTTCTCTTGATGCTTGATGGCTGGGCATCTCTGTCTGTCATGGAAACAGTACCCAAGTAGCCATCACCCTTTTTTCTCCCAAAGTGTTATGTGGGTGGCTGGTATTGCATAATGCCTGCACCATACTTTGAGTACAGAGTGAAAATAAAAGACATTTATTTCCGCCTGCTATTTCTGCTCTTCCGTGTCTCCGAAACATATTTTCTAATAAGCTATTGTCATGGTCACTTTGTTCTTTATTTCTTATAGTATCGGGACGCCCTTTACAAGTTCATGGTGGATACTGCCGTGCTTTTAGGAGCTAACAGTTCCAGAGCAGAGCATGACATGAAGTCAGTGCTTAGATTGGAAATTAAGATAGCTGAGGTAAGTCTTCACTGAAAATCTCTTTCTTTCCTTTACTTTCTTTTCTTTTCCGTATATTAAAGGCAGTATATCCTGAATGAAAATATAAATTGCAATCAAATAATAGTATTTTCTGTCATTGCCCTTTGGGCCTAAGGTAGAACTAGTAGCATCCCCTCTAGGAAGTAACAAGAAGGACTGTGACAGAAGAGCTCTTCATTCCTTCCACCTCCCTGGTTTAAGCCCATTCAGTGTCCATATGTTGCTCAGCTGTGGCCAAAGAATAGCAGCAGAGAGACCCTCTGACCGTTTTTCCTGGAGAAACTCATGTTTGGCTTAAATAGAAGATAGATGTTTAATAAATCCTTAGTAATCTGGCTTGAATGGAAGGTTGCTTTTAATCCAGTCCATGTTTTATGCTATCCCCACTCAGAGTCATTCTGGCTTAAGTTCTGGGCTCAGGGAAGTCTGTCCACCAATACGGGATATAAAAGTTGATACAGAAGTAGGTAGGACATGTTGGTAAACGTTTTTAAATGACCTTTCTGGTATTACTTTGTATCTGCCCCTGTTTTTTCATTCTTTTCTTGCGCTACTTTAATGAATATCATTGTGTCATATGCATGCCACAGAGCTACATGTCTGTGTAAATGACCTTAACTTCTTTTTGCCTCATTGTAGAGACAAAAAGATGTAAAAACAAACTTATGGGCAAAATAATGAGAACTCCTCAATGGTTAGCTTTGTTTATGGAGTAACTTTTTTCTAGAAGAAACAAAGTGTAAAAATCTCTCTATATGTTCCTAGGCCAAGAGGGAACAAATGTGGTAAAATCTGCTTCTGGGGAAACCCTGTAGTGAAAGAAAATGATACTTTTTACCAAGCAACTTTTGCACATGTGTTGGAAATCTTCCACAAGAGAAGTTAGTAAAAATCTCAAGGTGAATAAGAGTCCAAATGTTGATTGGTTTTGTTTGGCGAGGTGCTGGTGGTGTGTTGAGGTATGGGAGTAGGGATGAAGGATAAGGGTAAAGAGGAATTGGTCTCTCTGTCTTTGCTGTGATGATGTTCGTGTACAGCTCTCTCCAAACTCCTACTTGTAGTGCAAGAAGTTCATTCCTGCATGTCACCTTTGAAGACTGTGAAGACTGCTGCACGTGTCTCGAGGTCCATGACTGTGCCTCTGAGCCATGTCTAGAGTCTGCCTGAATTCTCTTTCCAGGCACATAGGAGGCCCAGGACTCTCATTTGGACTAGAACTCTGAAACAGCAGGGAAGGCCTTGCCCTGAGCCAGGGATTTGGACCAAAAAGGGAACTAAAAACAGCTGGGCTGAGGCAAGACTGGGAATTGTCAAGAGGCTAAATGAAGTGACAAATCTGTTGTGTGGAGGGGAGTGGCTGGCAGAGAGCTGAAAACAGCTCTGAGGCCAAAGGTCTCCAACTTGGGGCTGTGAGAGTCCGAGGGCGGAGGAGGGGCTGGTGGAAGAGGAGTGTGGATATTCTCTGAGGCAATGATTCACACAGAGCCAGGAGGCTGTTTGTAAGTTACGTGTGGTCTGTCCTGTGGAGAGTGAAGAAAGGGAAGCTAAGGACACTGAAGCATTTAGCAAAGAGGGGGCAGATATCTGCCAGTAAGCCCTCTGTAATCTTTACCTTGAAAAATCACTGCTAGTAATGCTTACCTCCATATCTTACACTACACATCACTAGGTACTTTCAAAATTAGTGGGATATGTAGTCCTAGGGAAACTTCTGAAGCTGAGAAGACAAGACAGTCCAGTCTAGCACAAATAAGTCCTTGTAAATACAGCCATGGAAGCATATACTTAGCCAATCCAGCTGGAGAGATGTGTGCACAAGGAGAGAGGTCTTATTGATGGAGTAGCCCTTGTGATTGGAACCAAGTGGAGTGTAATTGGAAAGGCTTGCTAGAAGCAGTGAATCTTGGGCAGTCCTGAGTCATAGTTCAAACCATGGAGGTGGTGATGGTGGATAGGAGATGTAAGAGTAGGAGAGTCATGTGTGCAGTGGAAATGTGGCAAGTTTAATGCAAGGGAATTAGATGATGGAAGGCCCAAAGGCAAAGTCATGACGTGATTGAAGGGTGGATATGGGAGCTACTGCTGGTCAATGGAAGTGATTAGATGATCCTTCAGGAAGATAATCATTGCTGTTCTTCTTAAGTTAAACGTAGTGGAGGCTAGAAGCTCAGATTTGGTGTTGGCCAAATGGCCAAGCAAGAGCATGAGTATTGGGAATGGAAAGAGTATAGAGTCAGGGCTGGAGAGAGGCAGGTTTTGAAATGTGTGAATAGGCAGTGACTGAATCCATACTCCCAGCAATGGGGCTAGGGAAATCTCAAGGTCAAAGAAACAAAAGGGGAAATGAGGGAATGAGCTGTTGACAGAATGATCACGGGGAACAGTGGCATCCGGATAGTCTTGTGTTCATCAGTGAAAATTTGCCCCTAGAGATGAAGGGATAGTCGATGGTTCATGAAATATTGAGATCATTATTTGGAGACCACAGGTGACAGTGGGATGTTTACCTCAATTGTCCAACTTAAGTTTAATTGTCAAAATTGAGCCAGCAATAGATTTTGCCCATCCACATTATAGATTGGGAGGGAGATTTTGGGTAGTTCTTTTTGTGCTGGGGACAATATTTGATGCAGAGGAGGATATGAAAGTTTATTTTCTTAATCCTGCCTAAAGTTATATCTTTTTTTCTCTCCCTCGAAGTTGGGCACCACACCAAAGCCTTGAAAAACTTTGTAATACTATGCAGATGTCTTGGCACATGTAGGAAGTAATCATACAGTAAGAAATGGTTCACTTGAAAAGAAAATAACCAAAATCTCTTTCCAACAGATAATGATTCCTCATGAAAACCGAACCAGTGAGGCCATGTACAACAAAATGAACATTTCTGAACTGAGTGCCATGATTCCCCAGGTTGGTGAAAACTATCCAGAAAACTTTCTCTCAACTGGTCATTTTAGAAGGGATTGGATTTCATCTGTGTGTAAATTTCTGTCTTGTAAAACCTACTCCCAGTCTTGGTTATCATCGTCTTTGTCAACAATCACATAAAATATCCCTTGTCTGTGTATTGGGATGCCTTCTGTTATAGGGAACAAAACATCTTTCCAACAGTGGCTTAGAAACTTAAAGCCTATTTTCTCACATGACAAAAGTCTAGACATAGGTAATTGTTGGCATTGGCTCAGCTGTTTAACAGTGTTGTCAAAGGCCCAAGTTCTTCCTATCTTTGCATCCTACTCTGTTTAGTGTGTTGGCTTTTTGACTTCATGTTTGATGACTCATGGTTGCAAGGTATCCATCACAGCTCCATATATCACATCTGTGTCAGAGCAGGAAGAAGGGGAAAGGGCCAGTGATGTGTCTAACTCTTTTACTAGGAAAAACAAACAGACCTTTCCAGAACATCTCCAGATGTCTTCCCTTTATTTCTTATTGAGTAGGATTGGGTCACGTGGCCACTCCTAACCACCGGGGAGGCTGGGCAAGTGAGTAACTGGTTTTCCATTTCAACAGTGGACACAGGTAACGGAGAAAAGGTTGGGAAAAGACTTTTAGAGTAGCCAATCTAAGAAACACCATACGGTGTTTTAGGTAAGATAGGGATGCTCTGAAGAATGGAGGCATGTTACTTTCTGTGTTTTTGTTTGTTTTTTTGAGACACAGTCTTGCTGTGTCGCCCAGGCTGGAGTGCAGTGGCGTGATCTTGGCTCACTGCAACCTCTGCCGGGTTCACTGCAACCTCCTGCCTTAGCCTCCCAAGTAGCTGGGATTACAGGTGCCTGCTTCCACCCCTAGCTAATTTTTTGTATTTTTAATAGAGACGGGATTGGCCAGGCTGGTCTCAAACTCGTGACCTCAAATGATCCCCCTGCCTCGGCCTCCCAAAGTGCTGGGATTACAGGCGTGAGCTACCATGCCTGGCCGCATTTACTTTCTGTTGCTGCTTATTTCCTCTTTTTTTTTTTTTTTTTAAAGGCTGTGTCACAGAGACTAGTTATGTACTGGGGCATCTGTTTCTGTGTATATATGAGAGTGAGGGAGAGTACAGGACAGAGAAAGGGAGGGAGGGAGAGAAAATGTACAGTATAGAGAAAGAATTTAGAAGGAGGAAGAGAAATGCAAGAGAGAAGGAGGGAAGAGTACGGGAGGGAAAAAGAGAGTACAGAATAGAAGAAGAGTACAGGACGGGGAGAGAGAGCAGAATGGGGAGAGAAAGACAGAGGGGAGAGTTCAGGAAGGAGGAAGAGTACTAGAGGGGGCCAAGGGAGTGAGGGTGCATATGACTGTGTTCGTGTGTGTGTGTGTATGTGTGTGTGTGTGTTGTCCAGATGTAGATGGTACAGAACACATGCTCCATTTGTGATTAAGACAATAGATCAGGCCGAATACGGTGGCTCACACCTGTAATCCCAGCACTTTGGGAGGCCGAGGTGGGTGGATCACTTGAAGTCAGAAGTTCGACACCAGCCTGGCCAACATGGTGAAATTCCACCTCTACTAAAAATACACAAAATTAGCCGAGCATGGTGGCAGGCACCTGTAATCCCAGCTACTCAGGAGGCTGAGGCAGGAGAATTGCTTGAACCCAGGAGGCAGAGCCCAGATCATGCCACTGCACTCCAGCCTGGGTGATAGAGCGAGACTGTCTAAAAACAAGACAATAGATCTGAATAGCAATGATCAGGAGTTTATTTTCTAGACTTGAGTAGTTGCATCTTGAATTATTAGGTGTGAAATCAAAATCAAAAGAAATGAATGACACTCAATTTATTCTATTTGCCTTTCTTACTTGCTACCTAACAGAGGTTCTCTCATTCTGTTTTGTTCTCTCTCCCCTCAGTTTGACTGGCTGGGCTACATCAAGAAGGTCATTGACACCAGACTCTACCCCCACCTGAAAGACATCAGCCCCTCCGAGAATGTGGTGGTCCGCGTCCCGCAGTACTTTAAAGATTTGTTTAGGATATTAGGGTCCGAGAGAAAGAAGTAAGAACTTTATGTGAATTTCACTGTGACTTTTGTGTTTTCTTTAAATTATAAGGGCTTCCCTTCTCACATTCTTTGAAAACTGTTTTTAAAGAATGTTACATCAAAAGAGTCATAGGGAAAATCCCGGTATCCTTTATGATGAACTGGCCAAAACCATTGTCTGGTGTAATTTACTTGCCGCAATGGTAACAAATGTTTTTGTCCTTTATTTCTGGTCTTTCTCCATGCTGTTCTCTTCGAGATCCTAAATTGTTTATGAGCTTGGGGAACAAGTTATATAATTATATAATTATGTTATTTTCTAAAATTTCTGTGTGAACATCTTTTTTTTTCCCCAGTTCATTCTCAATCTTTTGCTGCTTTTTTTTTTTTTTTTTTCTGGTTCCTTTTTAACCAGTAAGTCACTTTCTGGCAATAAACAAAAGTATCTGTATTGAAAAGACACAAGACCACTTTGAGAGCGGTAGAAAAATTGCACTGATAAAACAACTTTAGGAACTGCCAGGGTTTTCTTATTTTAAAGAATGTTTTAGAATTTGTTGCTTTGCTAGTTTAGTACTACAAAGAAAAATCTTCAAAATTTCCAGGAAGGAGAATTTTACAGGTTCTTTAAGGCATTCAGCTTTGACTTCAGAAAATGAATCACAGAGTTTACGAAATGAATCAACAAGTTTACAAAACACTTTACTGAGTTAATTGCTGGGCCATGATTAAAATCATATTTTCTTATTTGGACTCAGACAAGGCTATATTGCCAGAAGTTATGTTTTTTCAAAAAGGCACTTCCAACAATTCTAGGAATAAAATGTAGCATTTATCCCCTACAGAAACACTTAGACACCTGAGAGAAGCTGCTGCTCTTTTTAAGATAATTTCTGATGATAAAAGTAATCTGTGTTCATTGAGGAAAATATACAGAAAAGGGAGAGAAGAAACAATTTACTTAAAATTATGTCATTTAGAGATAAGCCAGGATTCTTCGAAAATTTTCTAAATGAAAATTGAATCTAGAGGTAGGTAATTATATTGCAGGGTAGAGCCTTGCTCCATGGGCCAGGAATGTCAGCAGCGTCACCTCGGATGCTTGTTAAAAATGCAGATTCCAAGGCCCTCCTCCATTGAGTCTGATACAGTAGAGCTGGAAGGGAGGCCAAGTAATCTTTATTTTAAACAAGTACCTCAGGAGAATCTTACGATTAACTTTTCTTAGGGGAGCAGAAGGGGATCACTGTATTTGGAAATTTCTTTGTAAGTACTTCCTAGCTCTCAAATACTATCAAATATGACCCTAATGATTTTCTACTCATATGCCATTGAGTTACGGAGCACATTTTAAATTTTGGTGGTAATTTCCATTGAAAGATGGAGTTTGGCCTGCTAGAGATTCATCCTTCACCTCCTGAGTCAGTTTCTTCTAGTATCTGTGTTAAAAGAGTAGGTACTTCTGAACACTGATTAATTTTACTTCCAAAAAAAGCCTAAGCCTAATTTACAATCAGGGGATAGATTGGAATTTGGTTTACTCTATTAGAAAAAGCATCTCTGTCGTGATGATTACTTGGTAATTGCAGGACCTTTCGTAACAGTGGAAAAGACCATGATTGGAGGGAGATTTTACTCTGATTCTTGTCAAAATGATAACTTGGACAAATGTAAACATAGGGAACAACAGTAGAAAAAACATAGATAGAAAAATCACCTTAGACATTATGTACATATACAACTTCATTTAAAAATAAAGACAAAAATTGGCCAAGCACGGGGGCCTACACCTGTAATCCCAGCACTTTGGGAGGCTGAGGTGGGCAGATCACTTGAGGCCAGGAGTTCAAGACCAACCTGACCAACATGGTGAAACCCTGTCTCTACTAAAAAAATACAAAATTTAGCTGGGTGTGGTGGCTGGCACCTGTAATCCCAGCTACTTGGGAGGCTGAGGCGGGAGAATTGCTTGAACCCAGGAGGTGGAGGTTGCAGTGAGCCAAGGTCACACCACTGCACTCCAACCTGGGTGACATAGAGAGACTCTGTCTTAAAAAATAAATAAAATAAAAATAAAGCCAAAACCCAAATATCTTTCACACAGTTTATCCCGCAACCACCAGTTCATAAAAAAGCAACTTGTATTCTGTGTATTCTTGTGAGATTTCAAGACAACGTACACATCATGAGAAGTCTGACAGTATTTTATTTGCATACTATGGTGATGTTTTACCATTGATGATCATTTTCCATTGATGATGATATACCAGTTGCTATAACCAGCACCTCTAAACACTCACTGGCTAAATTGTACCCTCTGCTCATGGAACAGTCTGAACATGGGTGTCCGTGTAAGAGAGCTTTCTTCTAAATAGTGACTCAGGAACCCAGACTCCTTTCATCTTGTGACTCTGCTCTCCCGTGGATGTTTGGCATCTTCTCTATTCAGCTGGAGGATGGAGAAACAGAGAGGGTGGAGGATTGTATAGGTTTTGGTGGGAAGGCCTAGAAGTGGGGTATGTCACTTCTACCCATATTCCATAAGCCAGAACTCAGTCTTGTGACTCATCTAGCTGTAGGGGAGACTGGGAAATATAGTTTAGCTATATGCCCAGGAGGAAAAGGAGTTGGAGTTTCCCTAGACATGCCTTTATCAAAGAGCATATCTCATTTTCTTGAAATGACGACTTTTCTCTCAATGGCAAATGCTTCCCTGCTCCCTACCTCTATGACACTGTGGGTACCTGATGGCAGGCACTCTTTTTTAAATTTTTAATTTTTGTGAATACGGGACATATTTTGATACAGGAATGCAATGCATAATAATCACATCAAGGTAAATGGGGTATCTATCCCCTCAAGCAATTGTCCTTTGTGTTACAAATAATCCAATTATACTGTTTTATTTATTTAAAATGTACATTTACACTATTTTTGACTATAGTTACCTGTTGTACTAGCAACTACTAGGTTTTATCCGTTCTTTCTATTTTTTTGTACCCATTAACCATCCCTCCTTCCCTCCTTCTCCTCTGCTACCCTTCCCACCCTCCAATAGCCACCCTTCTATTCTCTATCTCTGTGAATTCAATTGTTTCAATTGTTAGCTCCCACAAATAAGTGAGAACATGTGAAGTTTGTCTTTCTGTGCCTGGTTATTTCACTTAACATTATGATCTCCAGTTCCACTCATGTTTCTGGAAATGACAGGATCTCATTCTTTTTCATGGCTGAATAGTACTCCGTTGTGTATATCTACCACATTTTTAAAAATCCATTTATCTGTTGATGGACACTTAGGTTGCTTCTGGCAGGCTCTCTTGTGATTGCTTTTTTAAGCATTGTGGCCTAGCACAGTGCTTCTCATGTAGTAGACACTTTAAAACTTCTAGAAGTTAACCAGATACCCCATCACCACCACAAGGAGGTGACATATGAATGGAACCCCAAAGGATAAAGAGGAATTTTCTAGGTATGGGAGAATGGAGAAAAGGGGATGGTAAGCATCTTGAGTGGTGGAACTAGTGTAAACTTGGGTGTCACCTGCAAGGCAGGAGGCTAGAGAGCTGAGGGGCCAGCTTGGGCTCAGGATATGTAGAGGAAAGGCATCAGATGAATGTTACGAGAATCCTCCCACCTCCTACCTTTCCCCTGGAGGCACCATTGAAGAAAAAGCCAGCCAAGCCTTCTCACATTGGGCATCTCTGCTGTGCCTCTGTTTTTGAGAATCTGCCTATGAAAATCATATACAGGTAACCATTATGGTTAACATCTTTGATTTTTACAATTCTATGTGTTGTTCCCACTTTACAGATGAGGAAGCTTTGGTTAAGTGACTTGGCCAAGATCACACCTCTAAGAGGAAACAGCTGAGATTCTAAATGGGGTCACCCTCATTTCTATGTCTTATCTCTTTTTTTCGATAAATGTCTTGGTGTGAAAAGAGACACTTCTCAGATGCTTCACTGCTCATTTTGGAGATACTAGCATGTTGTACCCTCAGATAGTTAGATATTGCTAGCTTTGGCAATTCTCCTGCAATTTTCAGGGGTTCAAAGCCATCTTGTGTTGGTGTCAGCTGTTCATTTCTTATTTTTTAATTTTTATTTTTATTTCAATAATTTTGGGGGAACAGGTGGTGTTTAGTTGCATGGAAGAATTCTTTAGTGGTGATTTCTGAGGTTTTGGTGTACCCATCACCTGAGCAGTGTACATTGTACCCAATGCGTAGTCTTTTATTGCTCACCACCCTCCCCCTGAGTCCCCAAAGTCCATTATATCGTTCTTATGCCTTTGCATTCTCATAGCTTACCTCCTGCTTGAAAGTGAGAACATACGTTATATATTTTTCCATTCCTGAGTTACTTCACTTAGAATAATCATCTTCAGCTCTATCCAGGTTGCTGCAAATGCCATTATTTCCTTCCCGTTTATGGCTGAGTAGTATTCCATGGTGTATATATGCCACATTTTCTTTATCCATTTGTTGATTGATGGGCATTTATGTATGTTCCATATTTTTACGATTGTGAATTGTGCTGCTATAAACATGCATGAGCTAGTATCTTTTTCGTATAATGACTTCTTTTTCTCTGGGTAGATAACCAGTGGTGGGATTGCTGGATCAAACGGTAGTTCTATTTAGTTCTTTAAGGAATCTCCATACTGTTTTCCATAGTGGTTGTACTAGTTTACATTCCCACCAGCAGTGTGAAAGTGTTCCCTTTTCACCGCATCCATGCCAATATCTGTTATTTTTTTATTTTTGATGATGGCCATTCTCACAGGAGTGAGGTGGTATCTCATTGTGGTTTGGCACTTCCCTGATAATTCATGATGTTGAGCATTTTTTCATATGTTTGTTGGCCATTTGTATATCTTCTTTTGAGAATTGTCTATTCATGTCTTTTGCCCACTTTTTGATGGGATTGTTTGTTTTTTTTCTTTCAGCTGTTTATTTCTCAATTGCTGCTTCTCCCTTCTTATATCACTCCCACTGCCAGTCTAGGGGATTA